TAGATCAGGCAGCATTCTTTCATCTGCTGACAACCCTTGCGTTGTCAACCACGACAAAACTCCCTTGCCTTTCGCTTCCTCCAAGCGGATCAACGCCCTCTTCTTTGGCGTTTCCTCGCCTACTACTTTCTGCAAGTCTGTCTCCACCATGTGGCGCACTGCTGCATGAAGAGGTTTCGAAAGGAGAGCTTGGGCCCCAAAGACTTGGTAGTGTTGACCAAATTCATTTCGGCTGAAGGTAGAGGGTGGTTGACGTTCTACGTCAGGGTTTCTATCTTCACGGGGTTTTCCCGCCTTCCCTGCTTCCAACAGGTAAACTCCTTTGAGGTCGAGGGTTAACTACGTGTGTGTTGTTGCTGTAGACTATGCGCGTCTTTTTGTTCTGTGTGCGCGCCCGTTGGTTTTGTTCTCCGTTGTGTGTCACGCATTTATTTGTGGCGTTTGCCGTTAGTGCGCTGCTTGCCGGGCTTGCCGCGGGCATCTTCCCGTGCCTGGTATCCTCCCGTGCCGGTACGGAAGGGGCCTGTCATGTTTTTGACATGTTCCTCCGCGGTCGGTCCGCAGTCGGCAGTCATGAAATAGGAAAGATGCCATGAATGCGGTGTCGGGAGGTTCTGAGACTTTCGGAGGCTATTCGATGTTCTGCCGTACGGCGACATGGAGGTCGATTTCCGCTCGATTTCCGCCGTTCGTTCGTGTGGACACAAGTGGGTACAATTTGGACAAAAGAGGGTCGAAATATAGATTCAAGTGGTCTATCTACATGAAAAATTAGTTGACGCCGCTGGGTATACCCACCGCAATGTCGGACAGAAGTGGGCACTCTGATGAGGCCTTGCGCGCCTCTGCGGTATTAGGGCCGAATATGTGCCTGAACGTGGGAAANCCGGCCATGTTGCCAAGGACGATCTTACTCATTGCCCTCATCATCATGTTGTCATGTATTTTTGCGGCAGAGTTGGTGATAGACGGTGNCATGGTTCCTGGCTGTGTCGCCCAGGGCGCTTTCCGGTAAATATCGGAGAATGGCGTCGTTCTAGAACGAGTGCTCGTCGGTATGAAAACAGAGACCGGTTCTAGAAACGTTTCGGCGAGACCAACCGAACGAAAAAAAAAACGAAAAAATAACAGGAGTCGACAAACGGCCAACTGTATGTAATGTATGTATATGTATCACATGAAAGGCTGTTATATATTAGGTTAGCGACAACTGAACTTCAAGGACCGGGATATCGAACCATAAAAGGGGATTTAGAGATGGGTAAACGGGAGATTATTGACCGACAACATAATAATAAGTTTTTGACAGACGAAAAACTTCCCATCCCCCAGCGACAGTATAAGGATGATGAGGAAGGTGACACACAGTATGAAAACACTGAAAAAATACCAGCACGATACCTCACAGCCAAACTGCATAAACAATTGGTAGCGACACGTGGAATTACGGCATACTATGGGACGATAACGGAAGGGGTGGCTAAGGTTGTCAATGCAGTCCTTGTGAATATTCGGCCACATGTTTTCATGCACTGTGGCGTGAAGTATGTGCAAAGGTTGGCATTGCAGCCAAGGAATATTGGATTACGTCTATCTAGCGGGGAGAATATTTTAGAAGTTGCACAAGATGTTGACATTCGGGCACAAATGGAGGGATGCACCGATGCCCGTGTATTTAAAACGTTTTATTTGTAGGCATGTACCCTAATATCCCTCTAGTCCCACTAAAAGAAAAAATGCGGGAAGCTTTGAAACTTGCGTTTGAATACCAGGCCGAAAAGTACGGATTTAAATCCATGTTTTTAAGGTGGGGAACCGCACCTGATGAAAAGACACCAGTTGTTATAGAAGTTTCATGGTCGAAGGAAATCCCGCGTAATGTAAATTATAATGTAGGCGGCAAACACGTTGTGGGCTGGGAAGGGTTTGTACAATTTGGGAATGGCATGTACCAACAAGCCTCCGGAATCTTTTATGGGAACGGCTCCGGCCCCAGACCAAGCGAAGATTATTTTTTTTGCGTTTATGCATGAATTCCAGTTTTTAAACGAAATGGTAGGTTCGTATTACTCGAGAACAATGTGGGGAGTCTGCACAATTTCTGGATATGTATGCAAATTGGGCAGGATATTCCGGGTAAGACGCATTTTGGGATGTACACTAAGCGCCAACATATATATGGCGACGTTGCAGCAATCCCCCACTGGGAGACATCATTGTCTTACTAGTTGTAAAATGTCTACTTTACATTGCCAAATGTGCAGATTTGCCATAAGATGTGTGGTACTGATTTTCGAATTTTTCAGACAGCAACGGCCAGACGTTTGGACGACATGCTTGCACGCTTCTATTGTTCTAGACTTATCCGTAACACTTTGCATTATTTCTCGTATATGTTTTTTCGTACATCGCCGGTTACTTTGAACATTAGGAATGTACATGTACCCACAGTCAGAAATTCGTACTGGCTTAGAGTTGCGACGGGTATGTATCTGGAAGCGTATAGATGAAAAGAACTTCGTGGTGGAGAGATAATAAATGATCTTAGCATCGGATGGGAGATGGCCAACCTGTGAAAATGGAATGTGAAAGTAATACTGTAATATGTATGATCAGAACTAAATGTGCGACATGGTTAATGAAATAATTGATGCAACAACAACAACAACGCGGAATTCAACGCCAACATTACACCTTCATTCTAACGTTTACATTTGAACCTGTCAACGAAAATAATGTGCCTACCATATCACGATGAAAACTAATGAAAAATAAGGCACATTATAGTATGTAGCGATGCAATGATGTGTGGGCAACCGCATATTTGACCATCGAAACCGCAAGGGGGAACACNCTTCATTCTAACGTTTACATTTGAACCTGTCAACGAAAATAATGTGCCTACCATATCACGATGAAAACTAATGAAAAATAAGGCACATTATAGTATGTAGCGATGCAATGATGTGTGGGCAACCGCATATTTGACCATCGAAACCGCAAGGGGGAACACTGAAAATGAAACGTGTCCCTTGCAAGTAGAGTGAGAAACTTATGACCGACTTCCTCGCCAAATTCCCATGCATCCAGGTGACAATGGCAAATACTGTACATGCCGAAATGCCGCCAAATGACGCCGAACCAAAATTAGTTCTACCCTTCAAAGAGTCAGCCACGTATGCACATGAAGGAGCGCACACGCAGCCATTCGTCTGAGCTACTCCCCCACCTCTCCTGGTTTTCGGAGCTAGCCGGCAATTCGGATCCAGCCGTTGTGCGATACATAATCATCTCCGTTAGGATTTGAGGAGGACGGATTCTAAAGCTGTAGAGAAGCACTGCGCCTGTTCGCTCCTTCCTACTGCTGCTTGCGGCTGACTTGGGCCCTCCAAAGCTCCGACAGGTACGAACAAACTCCTTCGTGTGTGGTCGAAGATGGACTGCGTCTTTGTACAAGCCCAACATGCCACCATGCACAACATACTGCTGCTGCCGTTCACCTGTCGCCGCCCTTCCACGTCTACCTGTCCATGACACATGCTGCCACTTGATGCGACAACATCTGGGAACAACACGGACACAGGGAGTACTCCCCCTACCCATACACAACACCGTCAAAACTGCTTGTAAGCTCGAACAACCTCCTCTCATTCCTCTCTTTCCACATACATACTTTTCTTCGCTTTTTGTCTTTTTCTCTTCTTCTGTATTTTCTGTGCCAGATGGCCTTGTTTCTGCTTGCTTTGTGATGTACCAAGATTGAACCAAGGGGGTGTACCTCATTCTCTCCGGCCCGTGATGATGCCTCCTAGTCTCAGTTGTTACCTCGTATAGCGCGCAGAGGGAATGGAGAACTCCAGATTATCTGTCGTTGATTTCTACTGACTTGCGGACCCCTCGGGGCAATTTTATTTGAGTATACCTTTTAAGGGTAAGTCAACCTGTGACCACGGGAATCGACCGCGTCGATTGTTGGATCAGTACGGACATACGAAGGTACTGGGTAGAGAGAGATCGGAACGGTTTTTAATGTGAAGACAACAACAAC